CCTGCAGGCCAGAAGAGGGCACCAGACCTCATTACAGATGGTTGTGAGCCATCATGTGATTGCTAGGAATTAAACTCAAGACCTTTGGAAGAGCAGGCAATGCTCTTAACCTCTGAGCCATCTCTCCAGCCCCCGTGTGTCTCTTCCTCTTGACCTGACCATTCAGCTCCACCACCATCAAGGTCATCTTCTCTTTGTCACAAAGTCCATACAAATTTATACCAACCAAAGTGATGAGAAGAACTGGTCCAGGTCCTTAGTGGTCTGACAGAGAGAAAGGAGGGGATAAAAGACAGGAGGCTCCAAAGCAGGACCTCACTGTGTGTGTCAGGCCAGTTTGTGGACAATATGAGATCAGTCACTTTTTTTCCCTAAGAAACCTAGCTTCCTAGAATAAAACTTCTAAATTTAATCTTTAAGCTGCTCACCAGGTAGAAGTCATGCATAACCCAATGGAATATATATTTCATGAAAGTTTATTTTTTGCTTGTTATTTACAAAAAGCAATATGCAGTCCTTAGGGGAAAAAAGCTAGAAATGGAGAAAAGCTGAGGGGGGAATATTACTTCTAGGTCCACTGACACAATCACCTGAGAGCTAAATATTTAATTTTGTGCTAAAGCAAGCCCTTTTGTCCCAGTAGATTTTGTTGAAGATAAACTAATAAAAGCCAAAAGTTAAAAAAAAAAATGTGTGGGACTTAATCACTCTCTTCTCAATTCTATTGTCATTTAGGTGAACAAGATCCTTTCCGGCATGTTTGTTGGGGTGGAAGGAGCATAGAGGAGAGTTGTTTGGATTTTTTTGTTTTGTTTGACTTGGTTTGGTTTTTCGAGACAGGGTTTCTCTTGTAGCTTTGGTGCCTGTCCTGGAACTAGCTCTTGTAGACCAGGCTGGCCTCAGATTCACAGAGATCCACCTGCCTCTGCTTCCTGAGTATTGGAATTAAAGGCGTGAGCTACCACTGCCTGGCCAAGGACAGCTTTATTGAGATACAGTTCACAAGTCAATCAAGGTTCCATTTAATAAGTTCACTATAACAGCTTTGAGTACATTCCAAGTGGTACAGTCATCACGTCAATCAGTTTGCCCCACTAAGAACACGCCCCATCCCACACTGGTACCTTGCCTTATGCCTGTAGATGCAGCTAAGACAAAGGACCAGTTGAATACAAGACCAGCCTGAGTAACATCAAGACCCTATCTTAAAAAATAAAATTAAAAAGACCTCCTACCTAATCTTCTAGCCATCACCCCCTAACTCCATCCCTGGGCAACTACTTTCTGCCTTCATTAACTTTTCCTCTTCTTTTTTTTTTTTTTTTTTTTTTTTTTTTTTGGTTTTTCGAGACAGGGTTTCTCTGTGGTTTTGGAGCCTGTCCTGGAACTAGCTCTTGTAGACCAGGCTGGTCTCGAACTCAACTTTTCCTCTTCTAAATATTAGCAGAATCATATCACTCAGAATAAACCTGCTAAGGCTTATCTTTATAGCATTCCCAGTATTTTTCTCCCTTTTGTTATCAAGTAATATTCCATTGTACAGAGATATATCCCATTTTTCGCTCAGCTGGCAGACATAGGGTTAGACTTTTAGGGTGCCACAGATAATGCTGTTATGGACAAGGGGTTTCTGTGGAAGCTTATATTCTCATTCTCCTGGGAGTGGAATTCATCAGTTTTATGGGAATTCTACATTTATGCTTTTGAGACGCATCAGACTGATTTCCTCAGTGGCTCCCCACATGAACTATTCATCTTTAAAATGCAGAATATGGGCGGTGCATGTCTTTAATCCCAGTACTTGGGAGGAAGAGGCAGGAGGATCTCTGTGAGTTCGAGGCCAGCCTGGTCTACAAGAGCTAGTTCCAGGATAGCCAGAGCTACAGAGAGAAACTCTGTCTTGAAAACCAAAATCTAAAAAACAAAGCATAAACAAACAAACAAACAAACAGAACGTAGAATGCCCCAATCTGACTTTTCACCTTCCATGTTTTCAGGTACTCACTCTCAACTATAACCCCAAAATGTTAAATGGAAAATGTTTACAAATAAACAATTCCTAAGTTTGATGTTGTTTGCTGTTCTAAGCCACATAATAAAATCTTGCACTGTGTGCTTCATCCCACCCCAGATGTGAACCACACTTTGTTCATCGAATCCATGTCGTACATGTGACCTGTCCATTCAATACCTGGCATCTCCTTGGTTATCACATAAACTATCTCAGCATCATAACACTTTATGCTCAAGTAACCCATGTTTTACTTAGTAACAGCCACAGGAAGCAAGGAACGTGATGCAAAGTTGAACACAATGTTTCACATCCAGAATCCCCAGACCTCTGGGAGGTTGAGATGGGAGAATCACAAGCTCTACACCAACCTGGCCTACAAAAGAGACCCTGTCCTTGAAAGGAATGCGAGGATAGCATGGGCAGGGAGCAACAGGGTGTGGGAGGGCAGACAGCTGTACTCTGGTGCTATGTTGCCACTGCAGGTAAAAGGGAAGAAGCACAGAATTGCTGGGTTCACCATCCCTAGGGTGATGGTGGTGGTGGGTACCCTCTGTGATGGAAGGTACACATACCAGCAGACAGCACGACTACCGTAGAGACATCTGTGTGTCAAGAGTCACCACACTTTCCTCAATAGTTAACGACATTTATTGGGCATCTTCCTGTGTGCTCAATGAACATTTATATATCTTATTTAATCCAACTAAGCTTAAAAAAAAGGCAAGTCCTAGGCGCTGGAGAGATGGCTCAGCAGTTAAGAGCACTGGCAGTTCTTTCAGAGGACCTAGATTCCCAACCACCATGTGGTAACCCATAATCAGCTGTTCATTCTAGTCCCAGGGGATCCGACACCCTCTGTTGGCCTCTGAGGCCATTGCACACACATGCTGTACAAATAACATATGCAAGCAAAATACTCAAACACATCAAATAAAAATAAATATATATTAAAATTTTAATTGCAAGTCCTTTGGACAGGACCAATATCTGAATTCAAATGTCTTTTATAGTTGAACTGTCCCAGGCAAGTCACCTTTTATGAGCTTTCTATTTCTGATTTACATGCAGATAGTAACCTAACTACCAGAGAGGGAACACTGAGATACAGTGTGTCTAACACACAGCTGGACACAGCATGCCCTGCACACAACAGTTACTAACCAGCTTGATGTTAACACTTTGTAACCTGTAAAGCCTTTCAAACAGTTAAACACACAGGGAGAAGTTATAACTGGCAGAAATTGGAAACACAGGGCAGGGAGCACCAAAGGAGGTAGGGGGAGGAGCAGAGGGATAGACTCGCAGTTAGAATAGCCCATTTTCAATTCCTCTTAGCTATCACTGTCAAAGTCAGTTCTGAACTTGCTCTTCCCCCATTCAATACTGATCCAAGCACCAAACCCACTGAATTAAGCTCTGAATTTTTGTTTGGAAGAGCTTAAGTAGGCCAGCAAGATGGCTCAGTGGGTAAGGACACTTGCCACCAAACAAGATGACCCAAGCTCAATCCCTGGAATCCATACAATAAAAGGAGAGAATTGACTCCTGCAAGTGGTTCACTGACATGCTGTAGCAACCCCCACCACACACATAGGTACAAATAAATACGTGTAATAAGTGATTTTGGAATCATGTGTCTGCTACCTCATTGAATTCTTACTGAACAGGAAGGAAGCAGGTCTTACTCACTGGATATTGGGATAGCGGGACACTGCATGGCACACGAACAGCAAGTGATGGATAACTGGCCAAACAAGTCACAAGGATGAGTGGACAAACAGGAGTGTATTTGGGATCTATATCTCTTTGCTATGGGTCCTAAAGGATTCTGCTTTCCTCTTCAAGTTGTGAGTGAGGAGGGGAAGGTCTCCTCTATGCACGCTTCTTGCCATGTAAACAGCTCAGAGCAGAAAAGGAAAGAGAGCAGTGGCTTCAAATTCAGAATAAAGACAGCTGTTCTGACAAGGTCTAAATTATACCTCACCACAAGTAAGAATAACAAGACACTCTTCACAGAGAAATTCTGTTTACCATTCAACACCCAAAGAAGAGTCAAGCCAAAAAGAAAGAGAAAAGCCTTCTCCCACAAGTTGACTTGGTTCCAGAAGCCATTTATTTGGACAGCGCACAGTCAGAGAGCAATCAGACCTCTGGCATTTGTTCTTCCTACTGCTTTGGAGACCCAGAATGTACTGCTGCCACTTGACTGGTCTGCAAGGCCCAAAGCCAGAGCAAGCTCTATATCCTTGCTGCACAACTGTGTAGATCACTATTTACCCTGGTGGGTTTTTTGTTTGTTTGATTTTAGATTTATTTATGTATACAATATCCTGCCTCCATATATGCCTGCACACCAGAGGAGGGCGCCAGATCTCATTACAGATGGTTGTGAGCCACCATGTGGTTGCTGGAAATTGAACTCAGGACCTCTGGAAGAGCAGTCAGTGCTCTTGACCTCTGTGCCATCTCTCTTGGTGTTTCTGACAGGTGAAACGGCAGAGCCTTCCCCAAGCCCTTGAAACTGTCAATGTGTGACAGGCTTGCACTTTTCAATTTCTTCTAAGGTTCCTCTGGACAGACCACCAATGCCTTAAAATAATCCCCTTGTTCCTGAGGTTTGAGAGAGAGCTCAGCAGTTAAGAATACTTGTTACTCTTGCTGAGGACCTGGGTTCAGTTGCCAGCACCCACATAGTTGCTATCAAATATCTGTAACTCTGGTTCTGGGGATGTGATGCCCTCTTCTGGCCTCCATTGGCATTGCACTCAACTGGTTAATTCAGATGCATGCAAAGCATATAAAATAGCTATATATATATATTTTTGAGGTTTTTTTTTGAGACAGGGCTTCTCTGTGGTTTTGGAGCCTGTCCTGGAACTAGCTCTTGTAGACCAGGCTGGTCTCGAACTCACAGAGATCCGCCTGCCTCAGCCTCCCGAGTGCTGGGATTAAAGGCGTGCGCCACCACCGCCCGGCTAAAATAGCTATATTTTTTAAACACAGCAACATATATGCTAAAATTGGAAGAATACAGAGAAGATTAGCATGGCTGCTGCATGATGATAACATGCAAATTTGTAAAGTGTTCCATATTTTAAAAAATCCTCATTTTTTCCTTTTAGCATTTATCGAAGTTATCTACAATTCTATAGGAATGCATTGCTCTACTATGTCCCTCATTCACTAGACACAAGCAAGTGCTGGGAGCCTCCTACATCCCCATTAACGGAACATAAAATCTCAAATTTCACCATAATTTTTTTCCAGATCAACATTTCTATAGTCTGTTTCAGAAGTTGGTCGGCATGGTTGTAAGCTTTTTTACAGTCAAAGAATAGAAATTACCTATATGTCTGACCCTCAAAAAAGGGCTATGCCAAAGGTGTTTCTGTTTGATTGAATAACATAGAGATTCCGAGCTTAAGTGCTTACTCAATGAAAACCAGGCAAGATCATATGGTATCTCAAACATAGCCTCCTAGATGGCGAGACCCGACTGCTGGAGATACCACACATTTTGGCTGAAGGACATAGAAAAATCAAGCTATAACTGAGGTGGGAGCTCCCTCCCTGTCAACATTCCAGCAAGGATGGAGAGAGGACATCTGAAGCCCTGCCCCTAACTGAGGACTACTGACAGTTGGCTGTGGGGAGAGAGGGATCATTTTTCTCAGTGTTATAGCCACTAGTAAGTCCTGCCCATGCTCACACAAGCAGCAATAATTAAACTCTGTGAACCATGGGAAGAAGGGTCCATAGGGAATGAGGGAACCAGAGAGGGAAATGGGGGATGAATAGAATCAAAATGCATTATGTACATGTATAAAGTTGCCAAATAAGATATACATACACCCACACACCCTCAACTATGTTTATGAAATACAAGAAATAAATGGATAAAAGCAGATCAAGAATGCTGATCTAACATCCTGAACTTATGGATTCTATCTCTTCTGTCAGTTTCTGTGAGGATCCCGCTCATTGTGGAAAATTCAGAAAATAAAGCAGGCTGGGATGTGGCTCAGTTAGCAGAGGGCTTGCCTAGCCAGGGCATGATCCCCAGCACCACATAAACCCCAGGATTCGAAAAATCAAGGTAGAAGAATCAGAAGTTCAAGGTCATCCTCAGCTACTCAGGGGCTTGAGGGCAGCCTGGGACTCTCAGGGTCCTGAAAAAGGATGGAAGTAAAGAGGAAAAGAAAGGGAAGAAATGGGAAAAGGATGGAGGGGAGCCATAAAGATGTAAATTACCCATAACCACCGCCAGTGATACTAATTTGGTGTTCTGCCACCTGTTATTTATGTAAGAATTAAAATTCCTAAGTACATTTTGCACGTACTGCTTGCAAAGGTTTTTGGCCTTTAAAATGAGAGAGTATACGAAATGTTTAGATAAGAGTGGGGGACGCAGCAAGGGAAAGAAAGCACGGGGCTGTGTGTACAGGGTGGCTGAAGGCAGCTTAGCCACGCCACGTACCCGGCCACACTGCACCATAGCGAGTGCACCTACTGCAAACAGGGATCCTTTCAGCCTTTCCCTGAAGCTCCAGAGGCACACAGATTGAAATGAACATGGGCGCTTCACCTGTTGGTTTGCTTAATTGATTTATTGTTTTGAGCTTTTGAGTCTTTGTTGACCTAATATTCAAAACAATTCTCTGGCCTCAGCCTCCTAAGTGCTAAGAGTATGTTGTGTATCACCAGGTCTGGTTTCCTTCTTTTAAAAAAACAAGCCAGATTCTCTTTAGTGGTGTACATGTGAGTGCAGGCACACACAAGTCCAGAGAGGGCATGATATCCCTTAGAGCGTTAGTTAAAGATGGCTGTGAGCACCTGACAAGGATCCTCCGTGAGAAAGAACATTTCCCGTTCTTAATCACTAATCACTAAGCCATCTCTCTAGTTCCCCACCCCTCCATCTTGGCCCCCTCTCAATTATTGTCTTATATGTAAGAATATTTTGCCTACATATCTAGCATATCTGGTACCTGCAGAGGCCAGAAGAGTATGTTAGTATGTTAGACATCCTGAAACTGGAGTTACAGATAGTTGTGAACTGCCAAGTGGTGCTGGGAACTGAACCTGGATCCTCTGTAAGGAGAACAAGCATTCTGGACCATCGAGCCATTGCTGTAGCCCCCAATTTCTTCTCTCTGACTCCTTGTACACTGATATAATACTTCTACCCTAGTGAAAATGAGTCTAAAACTACTTTCCTCAAAGTCACCATAACCCAAACATCTGACAGGCAGTTTCCTTTTAAGCCATCTCAGCCTCCATCCCACTCTCACTCCTAGTAGACAGCAGGACATAGTCTCTGCATCTACAAGAAACAGCTGCCAGCAGCTCTTTTGCTCACGTCCCCCAAGAGGATAGAGAAGTAGAAATAGCCCTGGAGAAGCCGGCCGAGAGTCAGTTCTCAGTGGTGGGTTTTACCCGGTTCTGTGTTATGTCCCCAGAGCCCCAGGGGCCAGGGATCAAGTACTGGGTGGAAGTCACACCCCCCTGAGCTCAGCACTTACAGTCCATCTTCTTCCCCCTGTCCCCTAAGTCAGGGTCTCACTACATAGTCCTAACTGTCCCGGAACTCACTATGTAGACCAGGCTGGCCTTGAACTCACAGAGATCAGCCAGCCTCTGCCTCCCGAATGCTGGGATTACAGGAGTGCCCCCTGGCCTCAGCACTTTTAATAGGAAGAATTTTTTTTTTGCATTTTTTTAAATTTATTTATTTATTAAAGATTTCTGTCTCTTCCCCGCCACCGCCTCCCATTTCCCTCCCCTCCCCCAATCAAGTCCCCCTCCCTCGTCAGCAAAAAGAGCAATCAGGGTTCCCTGCCCTGTGGGAAGTCCAAGGACCACCCACCTCCATCCAGGTCTAGTAAGGTGAGCATCCAAACTGCCTAGGCTCCCACAAAGCCAGTACGTGCAGTAGGATCAAAAACCCATTGCCGTTGTTCTTGAGTTCTCGGTAGTCCTCATTGAATAGGAAGCATTTAATCTATCCAAGGCAGACCTGACTCCACAGTAGGGAAGATGAGGTTCCAGAAGGTTACAGGTTTGTCCAGGTAGATGCAGACCTTGTGGATAAAGGTGTGATTCCGGACAGCAGGTAGTCTTGAGGCTCCCTGTGTCAGCAGGCTTAGTACTGCCAGGGGTCAAACAGCAGCTTACCAAGCTGGGTGTCACCCATCAAAATGGGTACCTGACACACAGGGCTGCTTGTAGGCTGACCCATGTCCCCTAATAAAATTCACATTTGAAGTCCTCCCCCACTGGACTTTAGAATATAGTCATATTCAGAGGAGAGATCACTCAAAAGGTCACTGAGCTAGAATTTGAACCCTAGACTAGACATGGCAATGGCACCTGAAGTTCCAGCTGCTCACAAGACTGGAGCAAGATTTCCTGGGCTCTAAAGGTCAAGACCGGCCTGGACAGCACAGAGAGACCATGTCTCAAGACAAATAAGACACATATAACTGGGCTCTTCTGAGAGGAAGAAGAGCTGACAACTAGAAGTAGGTGGTCTCAGCCTGCACGCCTAGGACAAAGGTCTCTGACGACAAACATATGGACACCTTGACCATTACCCTCCAGCCTGAATGCCTAGGACACAGGTCTCCGAGGTCAAACATGTGGACACCTTGACCATTAGCCTCCAGGCTGAAAACACTTATGTTGCTTAAGCCACCCAGCATTTTGCAACAGCAGTCCAGGCACACTAACACAGAAGCCTGTAAGCATCTACTGATGAGTGGGGCTGATCTGCAGGTGGGGGCACTGTAACTGCAGGGTAGGAAGGAGGCCACACCAGCTTCATGAACAGTAGGGATCCAATTCTCATTTCTCCCACTGTGTGACTTTAAGTATGCCATTCAACCTGCTTCCCCACTTTCAAAATGGAGAGAGTCCAGTGCCTTCCCTGTGAGGTGATGTGTGGATGAAATGAGGTGTGCAATAATGACTGACCACATGTGCACTGGCGTAAACAACACTCAACCATAAGTATCAGTCACATCACCATTAATATGAAAGGCCACATTATCAGAGCAACTCTCAGTAGAAGAACTGGTCAAATGGGCTGGCTAGTTTTTATGTCAGTTTGACATAAACTAGTCTCCTGAGAGGACGGAACCTCAACTGAGAAAATATCTGAAGACTGTGCATATGGCAATGCACATGGCAAGCCTGTAGGGCTTGATGAGTGATTAATGTGGGAAGGCTCAACCCACTGTGGTCCTGGGTTTGATTAGAAAGCAGGCTGAGCAAGCCATGAGGAACAAGCCAGTAAGTAGCACTCCTCCTCCACGGCCGCTACATCAGCTCCTGCTTCCAGCCAGGTTCCTGCCAGGTTTCTGTTCTTGCCTTGGCTTCCCTCACTGGATTATGATTCAAGATATGTAAGCCAAATACATCTTTTTCTCCCAACACTGTTTTTGGTCACGGTGTTTCAGCACAGCAAGAGTAACCCTAACTAAGACACCAAGGCTCAAGGATGTGAGGAAAATGAAAAGATTTCAGCTCCTGTGACCATTATATTTGCCAGGCATCCATCCTCACAGGAACCTTTTTTGTTGTTACTGTCGTTGTTTTCTGGTTTTTCTCTGCAGCTTTGGAGCCTGTCCTGGCTCTCTCTGTAGACCAGGCTGGCCTCGAACTCACAGAGATCCACCTGTCTCTGCCTCGCAAGTGCTGGGATTAAAGGCGTGCACCACCACCGCCCAGCCCCTTTTATGTTCTTGCCTTCCCCCTTGAGATGTTCTAAGACAATCACACATGTGTCATGTATATTCTGATAAAATCCCATTCATAAGTTACTGGTTCACAAGACCTACAGAGCAGCACCTGAAGGGGTTGAGAGTAGCTACAGCAGCCTGCATGTCCTTCCTGACCCACCCCACCGTCTGACGCAGCAGCTGGAAGGTGCAGCTGTCACACCAGAGCCTTAGAACCTGGAGCGCCTGGGCCTCCGCGTCACCCTACCCTGTGACATTCAGATGCAGCCCACCTCTGGGCTGTTTCTCACCTGCCAGTGGAAAGACTACATGAGTGGAGTGTGCTTCAGGTTCACCTAAGAGCATCTCTGCAGGCTCA